GTGTGTGTGTGTGTGTGTGTGTGTGTGTGTGTGTGTGTGTGTGTATTTATAGAGATGGACCTTAGGCCCTGACATGGAGCTACATCCCTAGACCCAAAGGACAGTTTTTCAAATCACAGCACAGCAGCAGGTGTAGAGAAAGACCCTGCTTCTTATGCACGAAGCGAGGAGAAGTCCGTGGCCGCGTTACGGTGGGCCAGTGCAGCCACTGCAGTGCTTCTCTCCTGCTTGGGGTTAGCACACACCCACCTCAGAAGTAAAAGTAGCAGAAATGACATAATTCAGGAAAAGCACCGTGACACGGCAGGTACACTTCCCAGGTAAGGACTCAGAAGGATGACTGCAGTCTTCTAACTCTAATGTCTGCACAACTGCATCAACAATGAAAGGAAAGCCGAACTACATTTATGTTTCAAGTTGTCTTCAGGAAGATTGAATTGCATATAGTGCTCAACTGAGGAAGAAAAAAATTTACTTAATTTCATCTTACATAAATCCCCAAATGGTAAAATACATTACGTCAGGAAGGAAAAAGCTAAATGCAGTGGATTAAATAAACAACATCAAATATAAAATCATTCCATTGAAAACATCTGTAAGAAATGAAGGGCACAGTTAAGAAAGTCAAGCTGTGCCTAAGGCAGACTAGGAAATAACCCTAAATCTCCCCAAGATCCAGCCAGTCAACATCCCAGCATAGAGGGGCTTACATCTCCCCACCCCCACCCCAGTACACACAACTGGGGAGTTATAGGCAGTTGATGGCTTCTGAGGAAGGGACAGTCAAGTTCTCTAAGGGTGTGGCCTCTTGTTGGTCAGTTTTGCTTCACACCTATTTCGGCAGTACAGAATGTACTTGATAGGCTGTTAAAAAAAAAAAAAGAAAAAAAAACGAGGACAAGAAGGGAGCATACAGTGGGGATGGAAGAGTTAGGGGAGGGAGATAAGTGTCATGAGAATACACTGCGTGAAGTTCTCAAATAATAGAAAAGAAGCAACATTAATTTTAGAAAATGTATACCATCCCCAAAGAAGTGGACTCCTCTCACAGTCTGGAGAATGTGAGCGGACGCAGGAGGAACAGCTGTTACGACAGCTGATTTGTGGAAGTGCTGACGCCATGACACAAGAACAACACGAGGCACCGGGAGAGATGTGTCAGTGCTGAAGAACACTGACTGCTCTTCTAGAGGAGGCAGGCTGGTACCCAAGCACCCACAGGGCAGCTCACCACCGTCTGTGACTCTGGTTCCAGGGCTCTGATGGCTTCTTCTGGCCGCCCTGGGCACAACACACATGGTGCATAGCCACACATACACCAATACACAAAATTCAAAAATCTCAAAAAAATAAAATATAATAAAATAAAAACATGAATAACATTTCTGATCTAAAAGATACTTGGATGGCCTGCCCTTGAGTTTTTATATTGCAGTGAAAAGAATAAAACGTTATTTTTGGATGTCAATAGTATAAATCTGTAAAATGGCAAAATTTAGAATAGAAAAGAAACAGGTGTAACTTCCAAACTATACATGTACATGGGAAACAATATCCATTAATTTGGCCCATACTCTATAAAGCACATGGAACTGTGTGCCCCCACCCTCCCACAAGCACGTAAGGTCCACTGCTGAGCGTGACTGAGATCCAGGGCACACACAGATGACAACAGGAAGCACACCTTCACAAGATAGTTGGCACACACAGCCTCCACCATGCAGAGAAACCGGGAGAGCCAAGAACATACCATCCAATACGTGAGCACAAGGTCCACTTTATAAACCTGGTGTACTGAATTGTGCTGTCAATATATTTGTGTACCTTTTGAGAACTAAGATGTATAAAATCTGGACAATAAAAAGAGGATCTATTTCTTTTGTTTTACTGGAATGACAATGACACTGTGCCTTTACTTTAAAAAAGAAAGAAACAAAAAGAAATCTTTTACAAGGATGCAGCCTACGGGAAAACTGTAAAAACCTGTTGGATTCATAGAAGTTACTCAGTGTCCTCTAACACGGAGCCAAAGGTGACGGCAGGTCTCCATGTCCCAGCAGCTGGTCTCACATGGGCCTGGGTGGCAGGCGCTGCTTGTACATGCCCGCCACAGCCTTGGCTGCGCTGTAGATCATCTGTCGGCGAGACATGCCAGTGAAAGCCAGGTGCCAATCAGTCCGGCTGACATTAAGCAAGCTCTTTTCCAGGACTTCACCCACTGTCACCAGGAGACCTGACCACCTCAGATTGTAGTCCTGGGGAGTCAGGCTTTGTGCCTGTGGAGAAGGAATCCGTGTTAATTGTACACTGACACCGCACTGGAACTCAATGTGTTAGAAATGACAGCTTCAAGTCTAGACTCGGCTTAGTTCTCATATAGATTGTAACGAACCCTCAAAAACTCAGCTGTGCTGCCACCAACTGTACAAAGTGACAAGGGTGAAAAGAAACAAGCAACACTGCACGCACCACTGTGTTAATAATAGCCCAGCACACTCACTGTCCAAATATAACATCTCCTCATTTACTGCACATTCTTAGTGATGCCGAGCATGGAGCACGGGGCTCAGCGCACGTCCAAGTCTTGGAAGAACTCCACCTCCTCCCAACTCACTCTGAGGGCCTAAATTATAGCTCCACATTCAGGGTCACTTCGTGTTAATAATAGGCTTGTCTAAAATTATATTCTTTTTTTTTTCCTTTTCTTTTTTTTGATTGTTTTGTTTTGTTTTAAGACAGGGTTTTCTGTGTAGCCTAGCATGTCCTGGACTCCCTTTGTAGACTAGGCTGGCCTTGAACTCATAGAGATTCATCTGCCTCTGCCTCCCAGAGTACTGGGATTACAGGTATGTGCCACTGCGCCCAGCTAACATGATATTCTTAAATCCCAAACAGAGAAAGACTACATATTAAGTCCATTTAGGGAAGAATGCATTAGTTTGTGGGGAAATGTCTGTAGATATGGCTCATGTGACAGTAAGTCAGTAGCTGCTCCCAAACAGCACCTAGGCGGGCCCGTACCTGCAGCGCTGTCACTCACCACCCTTGGCCTGTCTGTCCCTGCTTCCATGAAAACCACTTGCTCATACCCAGAAGTGAGAGGCAAATAGATTGCAGTGTTCAACAGCCAGGGTTTTGTTAGGTCACTGAGCACAGTCCAGAGAATATCTGTCTGAAGAATGGATCTGCACTGTGCACAGATCCCCAGGTGTTGCTTCACAATCACTCGAGGGGCTTTCTTTGCCCCTCAAAAAGAAAAAAAAAACAAAACAAAACTTTTCTTAAGCTCAACTTAGTTACCTTACAACAATTACACTGGAAACACTACGACCTAGTCGAAGACAGTCAAGAGTTACATCAACCAGCTTCCTAGCAACCCTGACAGACAGCGCAGTACTCTGTGCTACTGGCATTGCACTGGGCTTCAAAGAGAGACTTTGGGTCTTCAAAGACCCTGGGGGCCTGCTTCTCACACCCATAGGAGCCCTGGTGGCCCTGATGCAAAAGTGCAGTCCTGACCTAGCAGCTCAGCACAGGGAGCCAGAAGCTTCTCTTATGTATTGTTTAAGTCAAAATAGTAGGTGACGCTTGTGATTTGGGTCAGAGGTCATACTTCTGAGTGGTCTGATTGCTAAGACAAACCAAAAGGCTGGGTTCTAGTGGGGAAGGGAAAGAAGAATAAGTCACATGGAAGTCTTTCAATGGATTTTTACTATTACACACACTGACAATTCCATTTTGTTGAAGAAATTATTTCTTTTCTTTTTGTTTTTTTTCCAGATAGGGTCTCTGTGTGGCCTTGACTGTCCTGGAGATCATTATGTAGACCAGGTTGGCCTGGAACTCACAGAGCCATCCCAAGGTTAACAGTTCCCTGATGCTTTATCAAGAGACTGAAGGTGGGGGCTGGAGAGATGGCTCAGTGGTTAAGAGCACTGCCTTGCTCTTCCAGAGGTCCTGAGTTCAATTTCCAGTAACTGTCCACAGGTACATGATTAGGTTCATTCTTCAGTCAGCAAATCTAAAGACAAATTTCTATCAACTACATTTCTTTAAATCTCACTTTTATTTTATGTGTATGGTTATTTTGCCTACCTATATGTCAGTGTACCACATTCATGCCTGGTGTTTACAGAGGGCATCAGATCCCTTGTAAATGGAGTTACAGACAGTTGTAAGCTGCCATGTGGGTGCTAGAAATTAAACCACGGTCCCCTGAAAGAGCAAGCAATGCTCTTAACCACTGAGCCAAGTCTTCATCCTCATTTTGTTTGTTATTTTGGTTTCTTGAGACAAAGTCCCATATATAATTCTGACTGGCCTAGAACTTCCTTTGTAGACCAGACTGGCCTTGAGCTCACAGAAACCAACCTGTCTCTGCCTCCCAAGTGCTCAGATTAAAAGGTATGTACTACTTACTATACCCGGCTTAGATCTAATTTTTAAAATATTGACTTGTTACTAAAATGAACAACTAAAAAAGAAGATTCAACCAGAGAGAAGGGAAATAGAAAAAATAATGGGAATGAAGATGAGATAAACAGGCAATGGGAACATGGCTTAGCTGGTAAAATGACTAAGACAAAGACCAAGTACCCACATAAGAAAAACCAAACATGATAGCACCTGCCTGAAATCCTAGGGTAGGAGAAGTGGAGACAGAAGGATTCTGGGGCTCTCTAGCCAGCCAGCCTCACCTCACTGGTGAGGAGTTTCAGGCCTAGGAGAGACTGTCTCAGAAAGAAGGAAAGCAGTGCAGAGCAATCCTGAGGAGTAGTACCTGGGCTGGCCTCTGGCTCCCACAGATGTGCACACATCTGCACCTGCTTCCATACACAGACACACTACAGATGAATGAAGGGAAAGATAACGCAAAGTACACATCAGACAGATTTAAAGGCCAATTTGCTTCTGTTTAACCACAAAGGGGACAGAGACGAATAACAGCATGGTAGAATCAGGAAACTGACAGGCACAGCCAAAGGGAAAGACAGAATCAAGGACATAATCCTTACAATAAATATGGAGCGTGAAGAGAAGGCAAAGAAAACCAACCTGCTGCACAAACTCCAAAGGCACCGGTGTGGCCTGAGTAAACGCTTCCAGGCGGATGCCATGAACAGGATCTTCAACGACCAAGCAGCCGATGTCAAACCACCTAGGACAGAAGTGGGAGCAGCATAACTACCATTTACACGCCAGATAAAATGAGAGTCCAGAGACAAAAAGAAAAGGCAAGTCCTACCTACTGTTCAGACTCAAGTATCACAGTTCTCAGAAAGAAAATGTCAGACAATTCCATAAACACAAAGATAAAATTACTCCACTGTCTTGATTCCAGGAGAAGGACGAGAGTTAACCAGAAAGGAAAACTGAAGTTACTGACCATGGGAAATTTCCTTCTTGCTAAGATGGGGTGGAGGGTAATGGGAAGGGGGGTACTCAAACACATAGTTAATAAAAGTTACACTATTTGAACATGGAAAGAACTCCTTGTGGATAATATTTTTAAATGACAGTCGCTACAATATGGGGAAGTTTGTATTATCAACCCTCACCAGCAGGCAACCATCTAACAATGTTACTATAAATAAATAAGCTCACTCAAAGGAAATATCCATGTGCTTGGTCCCTGTGAACATAATCCCTTCGAATCACTGTTCTGAGTTACCCACTGGGAACTGGCTTTCAAAAACACACTCATGAAATCAAGGTACTTTTTCCACCGAAAGATACTTACCTGTAGATTATTTAAAAATTAGGCATTATAAGCATACTTAAAACACCTGGGTATCACCAGAATCTAGCCACTCGAATTATCAAACAACCCTGAAATGAATTCAAGCACTAAGGGCAGACGGACAGGCTGTGTTCAGTGTCTCCATCTTTTAAAGAGTAAATACCTTTAATAAGCACGAAGAACTACAAAATGAATAAGGAGATACACTTACATTTAAAACACTAAGACACAAAGCACCATAATAAGCAAATGGCACTCTGTAATGTCTTAGCATTCACATCCTAAAATGTTTCAACTTGCAAACATTGATTGATAATATTTCCTCAACTTGACTACTAATTACAATTTCAATGTAGCCAAGCTCAGCTAAACCTTGTTTTGCATGCTCTGGGCGTGGTGCCCATCAGGGTACTGCACTCACTCAACCGGGAGCCAGCATAAAGAACGAGCAGTCCCTTTCCCCCACACTGGTGAACACACATCAGAACTCCTGTAAACCTCCGTTCCCAAGAGCACCACCTCCACCAGAGCCTGGAGCCGACTTTCCTGTTCCCTTCTCCGGAACCCTGCAATTCCTGCCATGTGCCCAATGCCCTTCCATTTCGGTCTGTGGCCCTGCTGGCTAAGGGAACTTTCAGGTTTCCCTGTCCTTCATAAAGTTCTTCAACAGGATCATAACTGGGGATGAGAGTGGAGAGAATCCAAGATGATCACCTTTGATCATAGGGAGCTCCATCTTCCCTTTCTGTGTATAAGGCAAGATAAGAGGAACATGATGGGCTGAGGTTCAAGGCAGTTACGTTTCACACAGCAGAGAAAAGTTTCACACTAGGCTCAGAAGTCATAAAGAGACTACCCAGCATCACCAGTCAATTCACAGTCAAGGAGCATGCCTAACACATTACAAGAGCATTTCTGTACGCTTAACACTAATCCAAGACTAACACCAAAATCTAGAACTGGTCATACTCAGAACACTGGCATTATTCTGTATGTGCAAGAAGACATGAGACTAATTTTTCCAACTTAGCAAGAACAGATTATTCCTGTGGTTATAAGTAGTCTTAGAAAGACTGCTTATAAGCGCTTTTCAAAGCGCTTACTAGGTTCTACTGGTTTTACCTGACAAGCACATTTGAAGATTAATTTCCCTTTAGGCTGAATTGCTCTCCCTGGTAGATATTTCCCACCTCAGTAGAGGCCACGTTTTGCATATATGGTTACAAAATGCTAGCTAACAAGTAAACAAAAATTTAAGACACAAATGAAACTACCTTGTAATTATAAATAAAAAGTAGAATCCAAAGGCATGGTTGTTTATATAAAATAATAGCATATCCAAAAAGGTTTCCCATTAAAAAAAAAAAAAAATTTAATCTATTAAAAAAAAAAACAGAAACACAGAGCCCTCAAAGGCCATGATGAACTGACATTTCTAAGGGCTTTTTAAAGCTAAACACATGGCACTATGTAACTCCAAACCTGTGAACTACCATCAAGGCTCCTCGCCCTCGTCACTCTTGTGGGTCACCACAGGAAGCGGTGTGCTCACTCCCAGGGCTCAATTATACCCAAGCTACGGGGCAGTGGACTGCTTACAGTCTGTCCTGTGGTAGCAAGCGGTTGTAAGCAGTCTTAAGGAGCAGGCATTGCTCTGCGCGGCTCAGTTACAAAACAGTAATGAGAACAGAGGTGTCAGCTCAGCGTGGATGGTTCCGCCATCACAGCAGACATTCCACTCTGGCTTTAAAACAGGAGATGTCTTTTCTAGGTGCTCCGCATGAATGCCAGACACAGCCCTGCAGTTCCCAGGGAACCCTGAGCGTCTTACTTGTCGGGCAGCAGCTCAGCGATGAAGTTTTCTACTGACACAGCAGTCTGCTTTTCATGGATCGCGCCAGTCCTCCGCAGGCTATCGATGCGCTCCTGGGCACCCTAAGCAACAGCGGCACAAGGAGGAAACTTGTCTTTAGAGACAGCATTACTATTAAATATACTGGTTCTCAGTTCCGTAATACACACACATATTTAACATATACTCTGTAATGTTCAAACAACACAACCTGAGTGGAGTTGTACCTCTGAGGTACAACAACCCTTTCACAAGTGTTGCCCAAGAGCATTGAAAACACAGATATTTACATTATAATTCATAACATTATGAAAATTACAGTTATGATGTAGCAAAGAAAATAATTTTATGGTTGGGGTCACCACAACATGATGAAGTCTATTAAAGGGTCGCAGCATTAGGAGGGTTGAGAACCACTGGCATAGAGTAAAAATATCCAATAGCATTCCCTTGGTATTACGTTTAGGGTACATTTTCCCAATTATTCCCTCATGCATTATTGTCACCCTCACTCACATTGTATTAAGGTGTTTCTCTATATATTCAATTGTTAATTGCTGAAGCAGCAGCAAGCTAAATGCTAACAGATTCTGGTATTATCATTGTTATTAAGCAATCTCCTGTCTCAATGCTGCATAAAAATTACTTCCCAATTAATTCTGATTGGTTAATAAAGAAGCTGAAGAGCCAATTACTGGGTAGAGGAGACAGTAGGCGGGACTTCCTCCTAGCCTGAGGGTCCCATACAGAGAGAGGGAGAGAGGAGAGAAGGAGAAGGTCGCTGGGCTGGGCTATGAGCATGTAGCCATGAGGCCAGGCTACGAGGAGAAAGTCGACCATGGAGGAGTTGCCATGGGGACAAAGATGGAGCAGGCGCAGCCAAGGCGAGAGAGACTAGAGGACAGATAACAGGGCATGTGGCTGGGAAGTTGCTAGACTAGCTTAGACAGATTAGAATAAATCAGCATCTGCCCAGTTACAGTGCTTGAAGCTTATTAGTAAATGTAACAGGTCTCCATGGTCATTATTTGGGAGCTAAAGCAGGCATAGAAAAAATCCTTTAATTTCAACAGTTGGTTGCAATTTATTTAATAGATTGTTTTAAAATCACAATTTCTAATTGAGTTCTCATGAGAAAGCCTTATTTTTAAATGTTCATTTTGCAAGAGCTCTGGTATGTGCTTGGTTGATTTACTCTTGACACTTGCACTGAGCATGTGTTTTCCCAGTTTCTAATTACCTTTTAAATACACATGCAGAGACATGAACACTATGACAAATAAAAAGTTACAAGTGTGTGTGGTACACTAGAGCTGATTCAGCAAATAACTATCATTAATGAATCCAAAGGGTTTGAAAAACTGCACAAATAACTCAAAGCTGAGGGTATATATCGGGAGATTAGAGAAGCTAAAGCCAGATGAGGAGGGCATACACAGATACACACAAACACACACAGAGACGCACACACAAAATTTCAAAAACAAAACCAAAAAACAGCTAAGAATAAGCCTAGTTTTAAGGACAGAAGAGCTAACAGAAGAAAGAAAGAAGGAAAGAAAGAAAAAGAAAGAGAAAGAAAGAAAGAAAGAAAGAAAGAAAGAAAGAAAGAAAGAAAGAAAGAAAGATCAAGTGCTTAATTTCTGTTCACAGGATGGTGAAGAGATGCGTGACAACTGCATGAAAATGGACTCAACAGCGTAAGACGCTAGCTGGGGAAGAAGAAAGGTAATACAATTCTATAGCAGAGTAAATGCCATCTGTCTATTTTTGAATAATTATACCTCCTACGCTCAGCATTAGGCATGAGCCAAAAAGCACTCGGTAAGACCTCCCCACAAGAAACGCCAAACAATGGGAAAAGCATGGAAACAGAGAAAGCATGGCCTTGATCCATCTTGTACCAGTAGAACAGGAGGCAGCTGCTGGTTCTGAAAGACTACGATGGTTTAATTCTTTACAGTGGACACTGTAAATGTGCCTAACTCAGTCCTCCTCCACCTGGATTAAAGAGGAGCTGAAATGTTATTTCAGTAAAAGCATTTACGGGATTAGTGGGCTGCCTCTGAGCTAGGCCTTACAAAGCACTTCACATACTGTGCTTCTAGGGAACACCGCCCCGTCTGCTGAATCTCACCATCCTACAACACCAGACTCCATACTTCACTGGATTTACCTGGCAATACAGATAACTGGTACCTACAAAGAAAAGGATAATCAGCTAGACAGCAAGTTTTGTTTTGTTTTGGATCTCACAGAAGAAAGTGAAAGGGAGCCATCCCCAGCCTCTCTTTTCCATTGACTAGTGTATTAATTAAATGTAGGGGCTATTGGAGTTTAAGAAGTTAAAATATCATTCCCTACTGATGTTTTGAAAAGGGAATTTTACTCTCACCAGTATAAGGCAGCCATAATTAAGACAGTTTTGAGGACACACAAATAATATTCTGCAACTGAGCCGAGGCAGAAGGGCTCGGGACTTACGCTGTATCTGTAGCATCTTGGTTCAGACAGACAATTCGATTGCGCACGTTGTCACAATGCTCACTGACATTACCCACATTGGGATTTTACTCCAAGCTTTCCAATAAAAATGACTGCCACAGAAGCTTCAGAAGCTTCCTAACTTAATTTCCACTGAACTTACTGTCTTAGATAATAACATAGGATTTAAGGGAAAGTTAAATTTAGTTTAGAACATCACTGACATCAAATAAAATATGACAGGAGGGTTAAAAATTTTATAATGAACGATTCAATTTAAGATTCAATACTTTTTCTTCTCATAAGCTCCCTCTACTGTTTCTGAGGGGGAAAAGTGATCACAAATTTGTAAGTATTTCCGTTCTGAGCCTATATTAAAAGTTATAAAAAGATAACCTGCACCTAAATTTGTAAAACAAAACCAACAGCAAAAATAAGTTGGGTCAAATACAAATAAAAAAAAAAAAATCACAAGATAAACCGAACTATCAATAATATCTGTCAAAGTTTTTCTTAGGGGAAAAAAAAATATCCACACGAGCCTTTCACACACAATGCCTACGTACTATAAATATTAGTGAGAAACGCTATCTGACCTAACATCCTTGGAGCTGGAGCCTCCATACAGGAAGGCATTTAATCTCCTCTTCTTTGGATTGCTACACCTGCAGCTTCCCACTTCGCTGTATAACTCCATCCTCTCATGTTTGCCCCCTCTCTCCACGTTTCCAGAGACAGACTCCAACTTGCGGCCTGCTGTCTTTCTGTCCGCCTCCCGCCGGAATCCACAGGCGAGCTCTGACCTCCCAGAGATAGCTAACCACCTTGAGGGAATCCACAGAGACACTTGGCATTTCTTTCACAGAGTAATGCCAGCACCAAATCCCATGTGTACTAGAGCCCTTCCTTGAGTCTCTAATGTTAAATACACTCACTATTCCTATCTCAAAACTTTTGATGTCTTCTGTCCCAGATCTACAAATTCTTTGTCATTTACAAAAGCAATGTTAAAGTCTTGACAAACAGAGACTCAGTCTAGGCAAGAGATTTATTCACCTTTCAAAAGAAACTCATCCATATAGGACTTTTGATATATCTTAAGGTTTGCAATTATGATGGGTACATATTTATTTTTCTAGCTTACCACTTTCATTTCTATGTTAGACTAGATTCAAACCCTACAGACAGCAATTAGCTTTACTATGTGGCATAAAGACCTTTTTTTTTCTTTTTCTTTTTTTTATAAATGTACACTGGTGTCAACATCAAAAGAAACACCTGGCAAAGTATTAATGGAAATATTTCAAAGTAGATATGGTTTGACGCAATGTCTTATGGAGGCACAAACTACCATGAAAAAAAACTGTAATATGATTCCCATTATGAACAACACATTGCATTTAGATATAGGTAACTACTCTCTAACAGCCCCAAGTCCAGAGAAGTGGAGAGACAGAGTCAGGGAGAATGAGATTCACTCATCTATTTAAATAAACTCAACTATAATTTAAAAAGCACTAAAATTTATTTCTGAAATTTATTTAACAGAATGTATTAGAATTAAAAATAACTTAGTATTAATGTGAGATTATATTTAATTCTAATTATAATCAACACACCAGACTTTTCCCCATTTTCTCCCATTCTAATAAATTTACTAAATTTACTATTTACTAAAATTTATTGGTAATCTCAACATCAGACGTGTACAAAACGACAAAAACACTTAAGTTGTCTGTCCTGTAGATCTCCAGTCAAGTCAAACAAATGTTACTATCTTCTTGTTTAAGCTCGAATGCTGTAACAAATAGGTGTTGTATTTGGTGCCATCTCATACACTTCTGTACTGTTCAAAGATGACACCATTTCAAAGGACCCCAGGTATAATGCTGAAGGGCTGTCTGATGCTCCTAAGCATGGGAGGGCTCTGAAGTACTTTAGAAGAAAAGCATGTATGTGCCAAATAATTTGCATCCAATCAGTTTACAGGACTGCTGGCTATGACTTTATATGCATTCCAATATCTGTCTGTATACATTAAGCTATATCTAAACAGAATCAGACATTAAAAAAAAAAAAAAAACTTCTATGTTGACAGGCTAGCAAAAAAACATTGTGGCCAGAAGTCTACAGGGATCTAGTCCTTCTTCCCTTGGTACCAAAATACTATATTCACTGAAATTGTATGTGGCAACCTCACAGAATTAAAACAAACAAACAAAAACAAAAACAAACCCACAGCAAACTTGATTCTGTCTCGCAAACAAGACCAAATGATGGAACAGAAACAAGTAAAAGGAGACTCTACAGGTGGTGCCAAGCTTTCTCTGAGAAAATGGATGGATGGGGCTGCTGTCAACTGAGATGGGAGGGTAGGGAGTAAGTAAAAGGAAAGAAAAGGTTTCATTCTAGACATACTAAGTCTGGGATATTCAAGTAAAGTTGTCAAAAAGGCAATTTACATATAAATTAAGATTCCAAGAGCAGTCTCACTGGCAACATAAAACTGCAGCGTCAGCACAGACACTGGCCACGACCAGGGAGGTCAACAAACAAGTGCAGAGACAAAGACCAAGAGGAAGCTAGGGAGAAAAGAGAGACCAGCACAGGAAGCACAAACACAGAGAACAATTGATGAACTTGGAAAACAGTTACGTGTGCACCAAAGAAGCTACACAGGGGTGAAAGTCGGCACAGTGCTGCACACCTGTGCTCGCAGAACTCTGCAGCCGGAAGCAAGAGCAGGGGTTCAAGGCCAGTGTTGGCTGCAGATGGGGTCTGAGGCCAGCCTGGCTATAGGAAACCCTATCTAAACAACAGAAAGGATAACCACCCGTCTGCCAAGCCATTGAGCAAATAAATGGCAGCCTGGTGGCTAGGAGTACATTCCTATCAGGACAGGAGTGCAGAAGTATGGCCAGGCAGATAGGACACCAGAGAATTCAAGAAAAGATGTTTAAAACTGGGGGCTGGAGAGATGGCTCAAATGTTAATAGCATGGCTGTTCTTCCAAAGGTGCTGAGCTCAAGTCCCAGCAACCATATGGTAACTCATAACCATTTAAAATGAGATATGGTGCCCTGTTCTGGCCTGCAGGTATACATGCAGGTGGAATACTGCATAAATAATAAATAAATCTTTTAAAAAAGAGTTCAAAATTCTTGTAGAAGTTTTAGTGCAAAAGGAACCAAGCATGGTAGAAGGAACAGGGGAAGTGAGGTCAGAGCTCTGCTGGGATCAACCTTCGCTTGCTTTACGATAGGAAAATGTTTAGAAGCCATCAATTTCATTTGTTTTGGCATGATTGTGTCCTTGTAAAAATACAAGAGTAATGTGTGTGCATGTGTGTGTCTGTGTATGTATTTAACAGATACTATAATTTCAGTACTTGACTTAAAATCAATACTAAGTTATGAAGACTCCTTTCAAGATTATCTATTCTTTCTGTTCTTTCTTAACCACTGCTTTCCTCCTCCAATAATCAAAACGTAATTGGTATTTTATTCAATTAAAACTCCTTCATAACATTGCAATATTGGCTGACTAATGACAAGCTGGTATTTCAGTCTATAAATATGCAGTTTATCACACGGGCCTCCGGAACAATACTGTGGAGTCACTTTTATTACTCACCTTTAATCCAGCTGCATAGCCCACTGGCTGAGGGGCGATATTGGACTGTCCAGCTTCGCCCACAACCATAGCTAAGCCAAAGACCTCCTGGAAGGCGTCTCGGACAGCAGCCACTTTCACTTCTTTATTTGAGGTTACAACAATATCCAGTTCACCTCCAGATTCTATAGAACAAAAAAAAAAAAAAAAAAGCATTTCAGTTCTAAATTTAAGCAGTAACTTTCCAGTAATTACTACCACACTGTGGTGGTTTGAATAGAAATGGCCCCCACAGACTCATGTATTTGAATGTTTGGTCCAAAGGAACCGACACTATTAGGAGGTGTGGCCTTGCTGGAGTAGGTGTATGGCCTTGTTGGAGAAAGTGTGTCACTGTGGGAGTGGGCTTTGAGGTCTCATATGCTCAAGCTATGCCCAGTGAAGCACACAGTCTCCTTCTGCTGCCTGTGGATCAAAATAAAGAACTCTCAGCTCCTATTCCAGCACCATGTCTGCCTGCATGTCACCGTGCTCCTTGCTATGACAATAATGGACTAAAACTCTAAAACTGTAGGTCAGCCTCAATTAAATGTCTTTCTTTATGTTGCCACAGTCATGGCATCTCTTCACAGCAATAAAACCCTAACTGAGACACACATCATAGGTTCACACTGTATTTACTGTTACCAACCTCACACTGTGAGATAGGATGACAGAACCTTACCCACCACAACACAGCTGCCAAGCACTACTGTCAGGACTCAAAGCCAGGTCAGCTGGACACAACTCCTTTTGTCACACCATCCGATATAATCGCACACTTCCTACCCTCTAACCTCTGAGCATGCTATTCCAACATGCGCTTAGAACCGAACTACCAACTTCCCCTGTGGTTTAAGGGTGGCGGTTCAGTCTTACTCACAAGCCGAGGCTGGAGCACACTCCTACAGTCTCCGAGTCACCTGTGGTACTCGGTAAAGAGGACAGTATTCTAGGAAAGCTCCAGAACACATCAGCTTCGTCTGAAGTGCTGCCTTATACAGCCACACAGTGGTGGGAGAGGGTACCAGCAGGAGGAAGTCCAGAGGCTAAGTGCTACACTTTCTCGTTTACCAGCTTCACTACCTTGAGGAAGACAGGGAGCTGGGTTTCTTTGTAGAAAAATACTTGCCTCCTCAACGGGCTTGCTCTAACATAGTATGTCCAATGGAACAGCAAGAGCTCCAAAAAAAAGCTCATTCCTTCATTAAAAATATGTACATAAAAAGAAATAAACATATTGTTTAGCAAGTATCTCCAGCTAGACTGGATATGGGTATATGAATATAAAAATAAATAAATGTGGTGAAATCAAATTCATGAATCCTTCAAGCAGTTACTAACATGGACAGTTACTGAATTCTTTGTGATTTTGTTTGTTTGTAGGTTGTTGATTTTTGAGACTGTGAACTCACCATGTGGCTGAGGCTAGCCTACTATACCCAATTCCCAAGTGCTAGGATGATACTCAGGTGCAACTATACATGGCTGCCAGATTTAACTCCTGAGCCAATTTCTACTGCACAGAAAGCAAGTAGATAGATAGACAGATAGATGATAGATATAGATAGACAGACAGACAGACAGATAGGAATGACACGTGTATATGTAAAATCAAATGAGCTCCAAACAAGTTGCATGACCTAATATAACAACTGATATCTGTTTAAATCCAGGTCCCTTACCCCAAACTGAATGAAAACACATGTCACAGAGTTCTTACAAACATCAGTGTCTAATGCAAGTACTTGAAAGATTTATATAATCTCTATAGGTGTTACCAATGTACACATATTAGACAGGAAAGAACCAATAGAGTCAAAACTTTTAGTGGCTTTTAATTGCCACAAAAACTTCTATTCAAGTACCTAGTGCACAGCTCTAACTTGCTAAGCACTTCTATAGTTTATTACTAGCTAATCTATATTTGTTCATAACCTGAAAATGTACATAAAAATGAAAGAGCAGCATGACGATGTCAACCGTCTGAGGATATCTGACAAGGGCTTAAAAGCAGTTAAACAAAAAATGTTCCTTAGTATTCAAATTTTATTAATTGCTAGAGTGACTTCCTCTAAAAATATTATTCCTGTTTGAGCATAAACACATTTGATTAAAGAGATAACTAGAAAAAATTGCCAAAACCAAGTATAAACAAAGTATCACCTTAAAACTAACAGTGAATAAAGAAAAATTCATATAAACCACTAAACAATTAAGATCAATACCCATAATTTATATTGTTTCAGAGTTCATGCTATGGAGCTTTAAAACTTATACAATAATGACTAAGAAAAATATAAATTAGTTACACCCAGTACTAAGAACTGAGAATGAATTTGAATTAAGAGCACAGGAGGAATTTTTATCAATTACGTAACCAGCAGAAATGAACTAAAACTACAATTAGCGTGTGACACTGATGAACACGTATGCCAGTACTGATCTCACTTATGTACATACTGATATATGGAGCCATGCCAGGGTCCAGCGTTGTAATCATGCTTTCTACCGAATGCTTGGTCTTATCCAGGACAGATTTCACCATAGGATTCCCAGCCACGCCCTGCACAAAGCAAGATGCAAATGTTCATCTCAAGCAAAAAACACCTTGACTCTTGTAAGCAAGAAATAACCCTTTAAAGCTTTATTTCTGAGAATATCATACATGCAAACAATTATGATTATACAACCCTGATTTTCCTCTTCATTTTCCCCCATGTCCCAACACACCTCTCCCAACTTCATGTTTTTTTCTCTGATAGGCAACTAAGCCTGGTTACTGTGCTCATATACATGTGCCACCAAAATTATATGGGGGGATGGGGGAGGAGGCCAAATTTAATAGCAAAGAAATGAAAATCAAAAGATGTTTTCAATAGCCAGGCATGGTGGCACACATCTGTAATGCCAGCCCTTGGGAGGCAGAGGCAGGATCTCTGTGAGTTCGAGGTGAGCCTAGTCTACAAAGTGAGTCCAGGACAGTTAGAGCTATAAGACAAACCCCATCTTGGAGGGGGTGGTTCAAGGTTGGGGGTCTGGCTTGTCAGATGAAGCACCTGCATCACACACAAGGACCAGTGCTGGGGTCCGCAGAGCCCACATAAAAACAATAACAACAACAACAACAAAAACGGAGTGGGTTGGTAGCCATATGCAATCCCAATGCCCAGGAGGGGGAAGCTGGCTAGCCAGACTAATCCAAACCACAAGCTCTGGGTACAGCAAGAAACTCGACCTCAACAGATTAGGAAGGTACTCTATATCAACCCTGGGCCTCCATACATGTATACATGCACACACATACACACACATGCACCCCAAAGAAGGTTTCAAATGTTTTTGTCTATTAAATCAGAAAAAAAAAAAGTACTGTGCTTCAAACTAACATCCTTTACTATCAAGAGAACAACACGTGGTGGTGTAGCTACTGGAAAGCAATATATAGGAGGCTCCAGGGCATTCACTAGGACTTTCACTGGTAACTAAAGATACCAGAGAAGCCCATCACGATGTACGTTCAGGAGCGCTCATCAGCTTTATTCCTAAGCATTAAAATCAGAAGGGACCATTGTCCAGCTCTTGCTGATACCATGCTAATCACGCCCAATGGTGCGGGCCTGGGATCCCTGTCACAAGCCAGGCAGAGGAAGGAGGACTGCCAGGGTCAGGCCAGCCTGGGATACTGAGTAAGCACCAGGACAGTCTAGGCAACTTGACGGCACGCTTTCTCAGAATGAAATAGAGATCTGGGGATCGGGTTTGGTAATAAAGTGCGTATCAGTGTATGTAAGGGCCTGGGTTCAATCCTCAATACCACCAAAAACAACGACAAAAAATTTATAGAATGTTTACACATTTTTCTTATTAAGTAAAAAAAAAAAAAAAATGATTTTAAAATTTACAACCAGATAATACAATAGATTTGTAAAATAAAACATGATTAAGTGCAATAGCTCTGCTGACAAAGCTGTTCTTAAGAATATATTCTAAAGAAAGAATATTTTAGAGCTGGAGAGATGATCCAACTGGTAAATACCATTTAGGCCAGTGCTGGGGTCCGCAGAGCCCACATAAAAAACAATAACAACAACAACAACAAAAACGGAGTGGGTTGGTAGCCATACGCAATCCCAATGCCCAGGAGGGGGAAGCTGGCTAGCCAGACTAATCCAAACCACAAGCTCTGGGTACAGCAAGAAATTCAGATCCCCAGCCCCCGGGTAAAAAGCGGAGCACTACAGCACACGTCGAAAACCCTAGCACTGGGATAGGACAGAAATGACAGGATCCTTGGAGCTCATAGGCCAGCCAGCTTAGCAGAGTTGATAAACTCCAAATTCAGTGACAGACCTGCCCCAAAATAATATGGAGAAGAGTGGAAGACCCCTTACGCCGGCCTCCATATTCACAAACACACACACACACCTGCACACACACACATCTACACAAACATATGTAGACCCCAAGTACATAACACAAAGACAGACAGACAATTGTATGGCTGGGAGGACATTAAGGAAGTCGTTTAGTCTTCATTAATTAAGACAAATTTCCCTCACGCTGTACTGTGTTCTCAGAACCTTCCCTGATGGCCACATGTCGGCTTTACAGTTAGACTGGTAATCAGAAAAGCAGACACCTCACCTTGATAAAGCCCCAGATCCCACCAGCAGGTGCATCGTCCTGGCCTCTGCTAAGTCTAGGGTCTTCCTGTTCCTCTGGGAAAGTGATGGCTGATGTGGTTCCGGGTCCCTGTGCCAGAGATGTCATACTGGCTTGCTGAGTAATGGGGGCTGGCAAAATACCTAGTCAATGGCAAAAATTTAGTTGTGTAATTTAGTTCACAGATGTTTTCCTATAAAAAGAGACAGCATACGAGAAGCTCAAAACAAATTCAATTAAAGAACCACTTAAGCACCTAACAAGGAAGTTGTTAACTCAAACCTTTATAAATACAAATGTAAATATCCTCCAAAAGGTATTTCCCCCTTTACATAGGTTTTGGATGACTGCTATGCCTCTACTCTCCTTAGTCCATACAAATAATTGAACACTCAGCCCATTATAAGAAAACAAAAAACAAAACACAGCAAAACAAAACCCCCTGATAATCACTACATATAATCCATATGCTTCCAAAAGCAAACACCCATTGGGCTGGAGACAGGGTTCAGCGGCTAACAGCACTGGCTGCTCTTGCAAAGGACCCAGGTTCAGCACCCACAGTAGGTGGCGTCACAACCACGTGTAACACACACCAGTTGCGGGGGATCCAGCAGCTTCTTCCGGCCTCTGGTGTGAGCATGCATGTGGTGGCCATATATACGCGCAGGCACTAACACACAAAATAAATAAATTGTTTTTTTAAAAACACATGTAAACACAGAGAAGCATGTAATTCTTATGCTCCAGGACAAATTGTACTTGTAAAGATAGACAGGCCAATTTGGATACTAAATAATCAAAGCTAAAGAGCTCCTCTACCCTAAAATGATAAACGACAGAGGATGACAAAGATTAGGTTTTGATAATTTGTTTTTAACAACCGTACTAAAGAAGGGGACAGAAGGGGATGCAGCTGGTCTAGGGAAAGGAATGGCCTGCTACCACCCCTTGTGGCACATGGGGCTGGCTAGATGAACATCTACTCCCTAGGGAAGGTGGTTCTGATAAAAAAAAAAAAAAAAACAAAAACAAAAACAAAACCAAAAACAAAAAAACCCAGCAAATTATAATGTACTTTAGAATTGTGGCCTGCAGTGTGTCACTAAGTAACAAATGCTAACATGGAATTTGGGAATTCTTCCTCACACCTCAAATGCCAATCATACATCAATTTTTATACCACACAAAAACTACAAAAAGTTACATTAGTTTTACTGTACAATTTAAATGGCAAAAAGATGTTAGCGGGAAACACTGGAAGGCAGAGTGAGACTAGATCATTAATATAAAGTAAAACCCCATGAGCCACAGGTGCCCACGCCTAGACATAAACTAACGTACTCAACTGTTCTCTTCAAACCACCGTCTAGTATAGAAAAGGCAGTACAACACAACCTGAAGCTAACACACAGTGACAGAACACTACATAGAGCTGAGCACTGCAGAACAGTAAGAGACGGATCACCTGTAACTGGAGGTGCAGAAAATGATGGCATCAAAGGTGTCTGGGGAGCCCTCCCAGCGTGGCCCCTCGTGATGTCATACGTTGTGCCAACAGAAAATCCTGATATAGGAGGACCCGAAGGCGGCGCAGATAAAAGGGCACCAGGGGCGGAAGTCGCCGGTGGGAAGTGGGATAAAGGAGGGCTGCTGAAGGCAGTGGCAGGTGATGGAGACATGGAGGGCGGCACAGACGTGCCACTCGGGGGAACCGAAGGAACCAGAGGCAGTGGCCCAAAAGGAGGCGGTGCTGACGGCTGCACAGGGGGCAGGGATGGCTGAGGTGTGGAATACACGTGTGGTGGCAAAGACTCCATCCTGGACACACTGGGAGATGAGAAGGAACTGGTTGTAGCTAGAAAAAGAGTAGAGAGGATAAACACAAAGCTGGAAAGGCTTTTGATCTCATTTTCAAACTTTCACTGCTTGGGAAATTCCTAACCTGTTAGGCCGAGTCTTAGTAACTACTTTTAAAGGTGTCATTTCCAATGCATAACAACTGTGTACCTGAGTACAGAGCCCTGTAATCCCACTGGGGAAACAGCACAACCGAACAACGGCACTGCCTGAGAGCAAAGCTTCCTTTCTGTCTGTCTGTTCTTCTTAAGAAAGGAAGGTCATTTTGAATCACTGATATGAACATAAAAACCTAGGCACTAAAACCTCAGAAAGATTACTCTTCACAACGTCAAACAACATCAAAGACAACATAGGCTTTGAAGGCTGGCTAGAAAGAGGGTACAGCCTTTTGCTTCCTTACTTGTAACAAGAAAGATTTGTTACTGTGTAAACCTTAAGGGGCTGTTTCTTCCCACCCTGACAAAGACCGGAGAAGCATTAACACTGCATTCTTCTGATTCAGGGACCAGTGTCTTCCCCAGCCTCCAGCCACCAGATGTTAGGGGCAGCACACACCTAAGTGAACCTCAGTGGCCGGCATGGCAGCGGCAGCCAGGCCTGCAGGGTTCAGGGGAGGGGTTCCAGGCGGAGTTGTCTCTATTCCACTTTCTTCCATCATTTTTCCTTAATTACGGTGCGCTACAAAGAGATAAAAATGTAGTAAGTTTGACACAGGGGGCAGCTCATGTACTTCTAGCACAATTAATGCCGACCTTTACTACCTCAAATGCAGCCCTGTCTAGAGAAAGGGCTTGTCAAAACTCCTGAGAGCTGGAGAGTTGACCACCTAGTGGCAGCACTTGCTGCTCCTACAGAGGACCTGAGTTCAGATCCCAGCACACACATCACACAGCTCCCAACCACCTGTAACTCCAGCTTCCCCACACTCACTCACAGACAGACAGACAGACACACACACACACAGAGTCTATGGGTTTATTTGCAACAATTTTTGTAACAAAATTTCAAATAAATTTAAATTCTATGAAACTATTTAATATGCAAATAACCTGTGACATTTCCATATATATAATTTAGCAACTAAGAGTTAATTTTACGTTAATCATTTTATTAACAAAGTTCTGTATTTTAAATAGTAAGGTGCCAAGTCAGTTTTGGCCCCTTGAATCTTGCTAGAGTTTTATGTGGGTTTCAGTCAAGATGCTTAAAGTACAAACATCTAATTTAACTTTGAAGTTCCTCATCTTTTCTCACAAAGCAGTCTATGTAGGCTGCTCTCTTAACATTTCTTTTTAGGAGTTAAGTCTGCCTGACTGTTCTGAACATACTCCCTTCTCTCAACACATCGCATGTTAATATTAACCTTCAAAGAAAAAAAAAGAACCTAGATGAGTTCAACTTTAGAAGCATGTTGGCTTTCGGTCTCTTGGTCCACAGTAGCCCTGTGACAGGGAAATCATGTGCCTCATGTTTTACATGTTAACAGCAGAAAACAAGCCACGAGAAAGCAAGGGCCTAAGAGATGATGGTGGGTACCAACCATAAGAAAACGTCCTTACAAACCAAATTGTCTTCTAGGCACTTATCTTTACACCCAATCTGCACAGCCATCCCTCAGAAGAGAACATCTTTTTGCAACGGACAGCAGTTAATAAAAGACTCAGACCCCCTCAGAGCACAGCAAGTCAGTTACTGTGGAGTGTGTAGCCCTTGTAACTAACACCCCTCCCCCTGTGGCTCAGGGCGCATCTGGATGTGAGAAGACTGGACTGTAAGAGCCACAGCTTGAACTGCTTAGACAGTGCCTTCTAGATGCGACCTGGCTGTAAGACCTGAACAAAATCAAGCCAGTCAAATTTCCAGCAGAGGTGAAATAGAGGCTCACAAAGTGTCAGCCATGGCTGAGGGGCTGCGGCAGTCGATGGCTGTGGAGAGGAAGAGTCCATTTTCCTCGGGGATATGTCCCATAATAGGGTACCCATGCACGAGTGGATGGCCTCACACACACACAAGCACTACTATTTGGACTCACTGGTTCACAAAGGGGCCATGAAATTGGGAAGATGTGGTGAGGCAGAGCTTGGAGGAGGTGTAAGTAGGGGGGATGGAGGGTGGATATGATTCTATATAAAAATTACAAATCACAAAATTCATCTTAAGTATATGATAGTGTTAACTTTAGTCAACTTGACAGGCTCTAGAATCACCTGGGAGGAAGAGCCACTGGGCACACCTGTGGGCAACATCCTGGCTGTGTTTACCGGGATGGCAAGATCCACCCACTGTAGGTGGCACCACGCCCTAATTGGGATCCTGGACTGTAAAAATAGAAAAAGGGACTTTAGTGGGGCCAGGGTCATACCATTTTGTAAACCTCATTTTGTTGACTGGTAACAGTTCCATTAACTAGAGTAACTTGGCTTCTAGAACTAAATGAACTTGTTCTATAGATTACTGACTATTCTGCCCGGTGGGCTCCAGGAAGGATGCTCACTGATCACCTGACACTTACACTCATTGATCATCATTCTGCTCTCACAAGCTTTTCAACTCCCCGCCCTACTTTCTAACTACCCCAGCAAGGAAGCTGACGGTGGTCTCTGTTTCTTGCAGAGATTCCTTTGCACGTTTTCTCCTGGAATAAGGAAAGGCCTGCACTCTTATTACATTGTCTGCCTGTCCTTCTTGCTCACCTTCCATGTGGTGACCCACACACAAGATGCCTGTGCAGGAGCCAGCCAGAGTGGGATAAGCAGGGAGCAGGGCAGAGGCCAAGGAGATAAGGGCTGGGCTGTAGGAAACCTTGAACCATAGTCCACTGAACTAAGTCTTTTTGAATCTGGTAGCCAAACATGTTGTCCTCTGTCCAGGAGCAGCCAGGGTCAAAGGGCAGCGCCTCCAGGCCATGTTGCAGTGAATTACAAGACATCTGGACATAAGAGAAGCTTTTAGTCCCATATACACAGGCATCTTCTGTGTGGGGGTGCCTGGTGCCCACAGAGGCCAGAAGGAGCCATCAGATGCCCTGGTCCAGTAAGTTGTGAGCCACCACGTGCGTGTTGGGAATCGAACCTAGGTCCTCTGGAAGAGCAGACAGTACTCTTAAAGGCCAAGCCATCTTTCTAACCCAAGGGAAGGCACATTTTTTAGGAGACAGGAGACCCTCTGGGCCAGTGGTTTTCAACCTTCCTGATGCTGCAATTTTAATACAGTTCCACATTAAATTATTTCATTGCTACTTCGTAATTATAATTTTGATACTGTCTTGAACAGTAACACAAATATATGACATTTCCAATGGTCTTAAGCAGCCCTGTGAAAGGGTTGTTCAAACCCAAAGGCGTCATGACCCAAAAGTTGAGAATCACTACTCTATGCAATCTACAATAGTACTGTCCCATGGTCATTAAGGAGAGATGAAACAAGAAATCTTCCCAAATAGAAAGGCTTTCAAAAGGAGGAGCATCGTTCTCCATAAGAGGCCCTAACCCTCAAGAAGACTGGGATAGCTCTTCAGATCTCTGGAGGTGAACCTCAGTATGATCTGAGAGAAAGCTCCCCACTGACATGAGATTCCCGAGGGGTCCACCTGGCTGATGGTCAGAAACAAAGAACCTCCAAAAGATCAGATCTAGAAACCCACCCACAGTCAAAACAGCCACTGGCTGAACGAAGTCCCAATGATCAGTCGCTGCTGGAGCTGCTGGGGGGCAATGGAACAACTTCTAGAACAGAACAGATTTATTCTGAGAAAACCCATGGGAGGGAGGTCTCTAGATCAGGAAACAGACAGTTCACTGTCCACTTAGAATATGGATAGTTACAGAGGGAAAAGCGGGGGTCTGAAGCATGCATTGCCAAGGATAACCAAAGAACAGTGAGAGAAAGACTGTCAACTAAGGATAACCATAAATATCTCTACGACCAGCCCCAGACAAGGGTCTGAAAGAGGTGGGCAGCATAGTAGGAATCTAGGAAAACAAGTCTGGAATGCTGAGTACTGTATTTTGGGGAAACTGCCATCACATAACCAAGCTGGAAACTTTTCAAACCAGCGTGGCCAGGGCTAACAAGCAGCAGCAGGAATTCATCTATCAATCTCTGCTTCCTAATTCTGGATGCCACGTGACCTTCAAGCTGCAGCCTAGAAGTCTCCACTGTGGTGGGCTGTACCCTTGAACTCTGAAGCAGATAAGCCCTTTTCTCTCTTAAGTGGCTCCTGTTGGGAGTGTTTTATTCAGCAACAGAAAAACTCAGACAGTACCAAACCAACTCTAAACATGCCAAATTGGCTCTTGATGTTTTCCCTCATTTTACAAGTGTTCAGCAAAGGCAAACTGTCTACCAAGAACTGTAATGAGCCCCTGGAAATACAGTGCTAAGCAAAACCTAGTCAACTTAGAGACTTGAACAGGACACAACCAAATGGCAGTACCAATATCCAAGGATGCTGGTACAGTTCAAATACACCCCGACGGCAGGATTCAGTTTGCTGAGGCTTAAGAACACAGTCATGCTGGACAGAAAAAGAATAAATTGTGATTGCAACATCAGGGGAAGGTTTCTAACTCACAGATAAGCTCAGTTCTGAAGGATAAATCAAACTTCAGTAAGCCAAGAGAAGGGGAAGCTTCCAGAAAAAAAAAAAAAAAACATAAGCACACTGCAGGTATAACCAGTACGTAGGGCAGAGGGTACATACTGACATGGTCAAGAACACCCACATGGTAGAACAAGACGGAGGGACAGACGGGGGCCCAGATGCTCAGCCTTCCTGACAGAGGCAAGGAGCAGGACTTTTGAAGAACAGAAAGTAAGGCACTAGAGCAGAAGGACGCTTCTGTCTTTTTATCCTAACTCTTCTGACATCTTAAATCCGTAAGATGGGAAAAGGGTAGAATGCTCTATGCAAACTGACCTCAGTCACAGCCGCTCACTGACATACACGACAAATGGCAAACACAGAAAATGGAGGATGGTGCAGGGCCGCTAACGCCCCCCAGACCTTATTGGGGCTCAGGCCGTTTTTAGTTACTTGTGAGTACATGAGGTGTGTACTGCTCTGTGAACCTGAACCACCACACAGGCACCTGTCACCACCACAGCTGGGACGCAGAAGCACAGCATCACTCCAACCTCCCTCATGGTACTCCTGTCATATCCTCCCTCCAAACACAAACACTCTCATTTTTTTCATTCCGTAAAGGTAAGATAAATAAAATGCGAAGTAATCTCTTAATATTGGGTGCACAAGTACACACGCGTGCACACACACATATACAGCAAAATATCTCTAAGATTCAACCAAGTTGGTTCACTTATCTTCTTGATAAACATTTCCACCTCACAGACACAATGGAAGACTCCAGTTATTGACAATTCTTATTTATGTTTTGAAGATTCCTTTGGGCTGGGGTTGTGATTCAGTGGTAAAACACTTGCCTAGCAAGGATTCAACCACCAGCACTATGGAGGGAGAAATGAAAACGGACTCCTTTAGCTGAAGTATGCACACTGGACCACTGGGCAGATACCACTCAGGGATACACAAGAGGTTTAAACTAGGGATGGCCAGAATCTCGTATCTCCCAGGTTTCCACAACTTCTGACTATCGCTAGGGTACTGATGATATGTATTAGGTAGCAACTCAAAATCCCATAATGTACATCCCACAACACACAAGAGTCCTATGACCCCATACGTCCATAGTGCCAGGCTGAGCCTCTGTGGCCTAAACCAAGGTGCTGATGATGGAGACGAGAAAGAAAAGACAGACTTGAGAAACTTTTAGTTGTAAAACTCAGTGAGTGCCCACAGAGGGGATGAGAAAGCAATTACACAGCTCATCAGACAGACAGATGACAACAGGTAAGACAGAGAGGTGCCAACAGTTATGAAGGAGAACAGCGTAAGAGGCCAAGGAGTTTGATGGCATCTTATGGAGAATCATAAAGCATTTCACCTCAGCAGGATCAAGTGCCTTGAAACTCCTGAGTAGGGACAACTAGGTCTGGAGTTCACAAATCACAAGTGTCATAGGTATACCAATGACTTCGGATGCTGTGCTCTGCAATATCTCTTCTAAAGAAGGGCACATCAAGATAAAGATCCTTAACGCCAAATCTTCTTCCAGGCGTGTGGCCAACTAACCTGCAGAAAATAAGACCAGCAGGACGGCAGGGAGAAATGAGTAGACGGTGGTTCTCAGAAGCCAACTTTTCAAGGTACAAATGGTCGACAGCACTAAATACTGCAGAGAAGCCACAAGGGACACTGTGAAAGTTGCCACGGGTTTGCTAAACTACAGTCAATCTCAGAGCTGTTTTCCAAAGAAGGGAGACTAGGAGATGGCTAGGATCAGACTGAGGAGCAGGCGGAAGGATGTGCCCCACCAAAGCCTGGCTGTGAAGAGATGAAAGATAAGGCATTCAAGGAGGCTAAAACTGTCTATTCCCAACCTGAGCAAAGACAGATAACCTGAGAAAGGCCCCTCCACAGACTGCAACACTCTCTACCAAGGTTATCTCTTTCCTTCATCTCTTTATTAGTCACTCATCTCTCTGTGGCAGAAGCTAGCTAATTCTTGCCATGGCTAGGTCCTACTTAAAGACAACTCCATCTCACCTATGCAAAAGAGCACACCCGAAATACATGGTCGTTTATTGTTCAATCGATGGCTTAGAGACAATACTTAGATAAACTTCACAGTCCTAAACTTACCTTCCCAAAAGGAGGAGGAGAAAAAGAAGAAACAGCCTATTCGGATAAGCAACACTAAAGCATCAGCTGACAGCTTTGAAGGAAAAAAAAAAAAGTAGTCCGAATGCATCAACATTACTACAGGAAAAGAGATGGAAACAACTTAGAAGATGGGTCCTCAGGCTCATCTGATCAAACTGCTCTTCGAATCTGCTTGCACCTACTTTGGTCTGCTTTTAAAAAAGAGATGGCTACTTTAAAACCGGATAATAGACTTTTGATAAACTCAGAACGTCAGAAGCTACTCCATTGAGCTTACTGATGCTCTAGGGTTGCCTCAAATACCACCAAACAGACTCAGGACGGAGGTCAGCAGCTTCTCATTCTCCGTGCAGAGCCCAAAATAAACTTCCCCAAACACTCAGTGCCTCAAACAGTGCTCACACAGGACTGGAGTGCCAAAGAGTGTCAGTCAAAGCTGATCAACTACTCTGGAAAAAACTCTGGGACAAGAGATCTTGCCGTTTAGGAAATAAGCAATCCTGCGAATCCGGCTGAAATGGGTCCGGATTAAGGGGTCCTGCACGGCGGCGGCGCTGGACACTGGATCCCACCGGGGCCGGCGGCCTGGGCAGCCTGTGCCACGTCTGCAGGCCAGGCTGGGCCGGGCGAAGGTCCGTAGACCTGGCCACCCGTGCACGCGGGGGACGGTGCGGCCCGGAGAGCCGGGATCGGGCCGGAGCGACGCCGGGATGGACGCCGCTGTGCCGGCCAGCGTCCCCGCCGCCCCGAGCCCCCGCACCCCGCCGCTCACCCGCCGGCCCGCCCACCCGGGGCTCGCCCGCGTCCCGGCGCTGCCGCGCGGGTCCCCGCCCAGGCCCGCGCTCACCTGGGTCCGAGCGAGCGCCTGCGCGGAAGCGGCACACGCGGATCGGGGTTCGGGGCCGGGTCGGGGGGGGGTCCCGCGCGGGGATGCGGCTCACGGAGGACGAGGAGGACCGGAGGAGCGTGAGTCCCCGCGCCAAGATGGCCTCCGCGCCGCCCCGCTGCCACGTCGCCGCCACGCCCCGCCACGCCCCTCGGCCGGCCTCCGCCGCACCGCCCCACACCCACCCAGAACCCGCCCGGGTGCGCCGCCGCCCACGTAGCTCCGTCCCGGCCTCCCTGGCAGGGCAGTGATCCAAGCGGTCCACCGAGCAGAGGTTGCCTCCTGAGAGAGATTCTGGGCACTAGAAGGGTGGCAAGGTACTTGCCGGTTTTCTTTTTACGTACGGGTAAATGCACATTATCTCACAATAAAAAAAAAAAAAAAATTAAAAAAATAAAAAAAATAAAAAAACGATTTCCTTATCTTAACAGGCACCTGGAGCAAGTACTGTCCGATAACCCAACGACAGAGGTTTTAAAAAAAAAAAAAAGAATGAAGTGCGAAAAGAAAAAAAAAATCACAATCAGAAATCCTATTTTGGATTTGAAGACCCTTTGTTCCGCAACATTCCCCTGTAGGAACCAACTGTTCTCCTTACTTTTATGTTTTTGTAATTTATTATTTTTTTTATTTATTACAATTTGTTCACTTTGTATCCCAGCTGTAGCCCCTTCCCTAATCCCCTCCCAGTCCTGCCCTTCCTTCCTCCTCTCCTCCCATGCCCCCCTCCCAGGCCACTGATAGGGGAGATCCTCCTCCCCTTCCATCTGACCCTACCCTACCTTAGGTCTCATCAGGAGTGGCTAGTTCTCTTCCTCTGTGGCCTGGTAAGGCTGCTCCCACCCAAGGGGGAGGTGATCAAAAAGTCAAGTCAGAGACAGCCTATAGACTGGGAAAGGATCTTCACCAACCCTATAGCTGACAGAGAGCTAATATCCAGAATATATAAAGAACTCAAGAAGTTAAAAGGCAACAAATCAAGTAATCCAATAAAAAATGCTAAACAGAATTCTCAGTAGAAGAATATCGAATGGCAGAGAAACACTTAAAGAAATGCTCAACATCCTTAGTCATCAGGAAAATGCAAATCAAAACAACCCTGAGATTTCACCTTATGCCCATCAGAATGGCTAAAATCAAAATTCAAGTGACAATGCATGCTGGAGAGGATGTGGAGAAAGGGTAACCCTCCTCCAATGCTGGTGGGAATGTAAACTTGTACAACCACTTTGGAATTCAGTCTGGTGCTTTCTCAGAAAATTAGGAATAGTGCTACCTTAAGATCCAGCTATATCATTCCTAGGCATATATCCAAAAGACTCTCAAGTATACAACAAGGACATTTGTTCAACCATGTTTGTAGCAGCTTTATTCGTAATAGCCAGAACCTGGAAACAACCCAGAAGTTCCTCAATGGAAGAATGGATACAGAAATTGTGGTGTATTTACACAATGGAATACTACTCAGCAATTAAAAGCAAGGAAATCATGAAACTTGCAGGCAAATGGTGGGAATTAGAAAAGATCATCCTGAGTGAGGTATCTCAGAAGCAGAAAAACATACATGGTATATACTCACTTATAAGTGGATATTAGACATATAATATAGGATAAACATACAAAAATCTGTACACCTAAAGAAGCTAAGCAAGAAGGAGGACCCTGGGTAAAAAGCTCAATCCTCATTCAGAAAAGCAAATGGGATAGACATCAGAAGAGGGGAAAAACAGGAAACAGGCCAGGAGCCTATCACAGAGGGCCTCTGAAAGACTTATTTTTATATTTAAAGGGAGAAAATATTGTCCATCGCTAACCCAGATAGGTAACAAAGTCAAATAAAATAAGATGGATGAAAGGACTTTTTAACCTGCCTAGTGTTCAACATATGAAGAATTGTAGTTTTTGTTGTAGTTGGAAGTTTTCCTACAGAGATTTGTTCATAGATTCCACATTGATGCATCTTTTGAACTTGGCAGCTTTAAACACTGTGTGATGCTTCCCCCAAAACTAATACTATTTAGCAGTTCCGTGACTGTAGAGCTGGCTCTGCAGCTACTGCAGGCTGTTCCCTTTGTTACCTTATCCCCTCAGAATGTGTGTAGGTGGCCTTCTGGGTTACTCTTCAGAAGGTGGTGTTTGGGGTGGTGCTGGAAGTAAGATACCATCTTCATCCCTTTGGCTCACACCCTTCGTAGTTATAAGGTATGTTGATTTCTTCATTTGCTTAGCACACATTAAGTAAGGGCTGTAGTGGGCTGAGCATTGATACTTTGGATACTGAAGTGAACAAGACAGACAAGGTCTTAATGCGTAGCTTTCCTTTAAATGGGAGAGAGCCCGTGAACTGGAAAATTAGCAAGACAACTCAAGGGTAATGTGGCATGAACCATAATTTGGGTTTACCACTCACGGTTGAGGGATGAAAACGCAAGGCTTCATGTAAGAAATGAGATTTGGGGCCGAAACTTATCTCAAAACAGGTGGTAGTTATCTGGAAAGAAGGAAAAAAAAAATGCATGGAGTTGGGGCCTGGGGGAGGGGCATGCCGTTCCACAGAAGTCAGAGACTGGCAAGAACCAAGGACACAGAGAGCAGGATCCTGGTCAAACCCAGCCTGTAGGCCATGGTAAAACCTAAGGGTTCAATTCTGAATGAAGCAGGAAGCATGTGGATGGGTATGGGCAGAGAACTGACAAGATTTTATTTCAATTTTATATCACACATGGATGGATCACCATATGCCTGTAGCACACAGAAAGGTGAAAAGATCACCATTAGAGGGATCCTGGTAGCCTAGGATGATGGTTGAAGGTGGTGTGTAGACTAGACGTGAAACTTGAGCTGCTCTAGCTTAGGGATGGCTCTAGCTCAGATGTCCTGAGTCTGTCCTAGCAAATGACAGTGGTTAAAGATGACAGATGTTATGCTATCACAGCCCCAAAGGGCAGGAGTCCGAAACCAATGTGTCAGCAGGGCCACTCTCTAAGACCTGTGGGAGAATCCTTTGTGTCCCTTCCAGCTTCTGCTGGTTACTGGGTGTTTCTTAGCTTGTACCAACCTAGCTCTAGTCCTTGTCCCTGTGTTTATGCGGCCATCTTTCATTCCATGGATGTGTGGCTCAAATCTCCTTCCTTTTTAAATATAATTTGTCATTTAAAACAGCATTGTCTGGTGCTTTGTATTTGATTGTTAATTAATTTGCTCCCCACAGTCTGCTTGCTGTATTTTATGAATGCCCACTCACCCGAAATGATGTTTGTAACCTTGCCTTTAAAAAAAAAAAAAAAAAAATGTATTCCTATTTGACCAATAAAAAGCCGACACACATCTGGGCAGGGCAAATGGGGTAGGTGTGGCTAAGTTTTGAGGACTCTGGGGACAGGAGAGGATCATGGGAAGGAGACAGTACAGGGTTAGCAATGGAGGAATTGGCCCAGATGAAGAATAAGCAAGTATTTATGGAATTATGAATGGAAGGTAGCCTGGGAGGTAAAGGCAGGTTAGTCTCAGGTGATATAAAGCTGTTCTAAAATCTATCAGGTGTCTGTGTCCTTTACTGATTATAATAGCGGGTTAGACAATACCACCGTAATAATTATAGGCTAATAATAAACATTATTAGCCCTCTACCATTTATTGTCAGCAACAGTCATTACACTGAGGACCCAGCCTAAGTCCAAAGACACTTAGATCACACATACATTTATCTTTAGCAGCCGGGGGCGGGGGGGAGGGAATTAGTGTCACTATTCAACTGACTATATAGCAAAGAGGCAGAAATGAATGAAATACATAGGATTATTATTATTATTGTAGTTGCTTTCACCATAAGTCCTAACAAGAATCTACTTAAAGAATAAAAGATGTATTTTGATTCACAGTTTCAGGGTTTAGACTATCTTGTCAGGCAAGGCATGTGGCAGGAGAATGAATGCAACAGCCAGTCATATTATGCCCCAATCAGGAAGACAAGAGAAGACAGGAAGTAGGACCATGCTAAGAAAGCTCAAGGCCCTCACAGTGACCCACTTCCTCTGGCTAGGTGTCATCTGAACTTAGCCCCCAGCTAGAAACACGTGTCCTCACATACAAGCCCAAGAGGGGCATTTCACATTCATACCATGATATACGGCTTGTTTTTCTTACCCCTTTTCATTTGAACTTCTTGAGAAGTTTGTGTGGCTGATACTATTACTCTAGAATTATAAATGTACAAGCCAAGCCCTCAGAAGAGCTGGAATTGAAACCCAGATTTCATAGATGATACCCAAGTGCTTGCTTACTTTTAGGATAGTACGGAAGTAAAATGTGTTATTAGATGGGCAAACAGTGAGGGGAATCAGCAGACAGTTATAACTTAAGGGCAAAATAATATAGCCCTGTGGTGGTTTGTTTTTTGTCAACTTCACACAACCTGGGGATTACCTGGGGAGAGGGAACCTCAGTTAAGAATGAAGAATCAGACTGGCCTGTGGACATGTCTATGGGGCATTTTCTTGGTTAATGATTGGTGTAGAAGAGCCTATCCCATTGTGGGTTGTATAAGAAAGCAAACTGGATTTGTAGAAGTCTTAGGTTGTAAAAGAAAGTAAACTGAATTCGTCTGTAAGCAGCATTCCTCAGTGGTCTCTGCTCTAGTTCCCACCTCCAGTTCCCAGGTCTGAGTTCTGGCCTTGCTTTCTTCAGTGAACAGCAAAAATAAAATAAAATGAGCAATAGCCTGGAAGCTGAAATAAATCCTTTCTTCCCCAAGCTGATTTTATTATAGCAAAAGCAAACCAGGAAGACTCGCTAAAGTTGTTTCTTTTTAAAGTTAATGATAACTCTAGTTTCTCCTTGTAGGTAATCTCTAATATTATTGGAGTTCATTTGTATGCTACAATAAAGCACTTTAGTTCTATAGTAGGATTTCTCTCTTTCTTGCTCAAAAAACTTAGACAAACAAAAGACACACCCCTACTGGAGTCTATTCTAGCCCAATTAGTTAATAAGTCTATTTTAAAATATTCTCAGGCCTGTCTTAATGTATCCCAAATAAAAAAGTAGATGGAAGACAGTGCTGGCCGAGCATCTGCAGCACAGCTGGGAGGGAGGTCTCGGGGA